ATCCGAGTTTCTTTTGAAATGAAGGAAAACCATGCTTTTTCTGAGGTTCAACAGAAATTATCTTTGAACTAAAAATACAGCACTGCAATATGGCGAACCTGTTTCTTCCGCATAAGCCTTCATTTTATAGTTAAAACGATTCGGGGCTATATCGACTACCGTTTTATTAGAACTTTTCCAAACGGGAAAGCCATTATCATACAATTTTTCTTTCTTCATAACATACTTTTCGTTTAATTCTGCATGAAATATTCTGCAAATTAGTTTATTATTTTTGAAAAACCCATATTTTAAGGCCTATTTTCTGAGTTTTTTAGAAAAGGTGACAAGAAGAGATAGAAAATTACGCTTCAATTATCCTTGGGAGCCGTGCTATTCGGCGTTTGGTGATACCTGCGGAACTACGATATTTATCGGCAAAAGAAGCTGCATATTCTTTTCCACGAATGACGCCTGTAGAATAGAATAACCTTTCAATAACAATTTTTTGTGAGTAAAATATGTTAAATAGGTAGTATAAAGAAAGAATTTTGTTAAAACCATTTGCAGGTTAGAAAAAAGGTCTAAAATTAATACAAACTGTTCAAAAAGAATTTACCAAAGCCTTTCACTTGCGATATTTTCAAAAAATTTTCACATAAGTTATTCGCGATCATCGTTATACGTTCTCTTTACAAAAATCTTAAATATGACGATATAGCACGATGCGGATAAATATTGTAAAAAACGGTAAGTAAAAGTGTTGGATATTCCATTAACAAAGGAAAAATTTAATATTTCGGTAAAAGTATGAACCAAACACCACATAAATTATTAACCTTTTAACCACCTACCACCCACCTTAACAGGAGACAAATGAAATATGCATTATTTTGTGAAACGTGAAATTGACCTTATACAGGTGGATTAAAAGCTAAAAAAGGTCAACTTGGCCACGTTTGTGCAAAAGACAAATGGTGGCTATTGAACGAGCTACGTTTAACCTTACGTGACCTTCACTTTTCAATAATCACTTTCATTTCTTTTCTTCTTCAATCTAAAATTCTTAAGATATATTTTTACAGTAAGAATGGGCACCAATCAATATTGCTCAATTTTTCATGTGTGTCTTCTTCTACGGTTTTTCTTCCATTCTCCGGCAATTAGAACGAGAAAATTTGTTTGAATAAATAGATACTGAAAAGTTTTTGTGATTTTCTTTGGTGAATATCGAAATGGTTTGGAAAAAATCCATTCGTTTGATGTGGCAAATATTTTTAACTATGAAATTGTGATACCTTTTTAATGGAACGTTTTCCATTGGTCCAATCCTATTCTAATTCAGAAAAGTTCTATTGATTATTGTCGAGGTTGATCCTTTCAAATATTTGCTGTATTTTGTTGCTCGACTTATACAAATGGAAGATATCAAGAAATTGTACAGTTGACCATTTCTGAGGCTTCAGATGAGTTGAGTCTCATATCGTCGCTTCATCATGCGATCTTTACAACGATCTTTACAAATTTAAGCTGTTTGAGGTGAATCATTTTTATATAGGCAATATCTCCGTTCATCTTACTTCTCTACATATTATTTTCCTCACTGCACAAGTTCTGTTTCTGTTTATGCTGGTCTGTTTCTTCGGCCTCTGAAGTAATCAACTCGAGATGCGATGAGATAGGTGTGAGTGAACATGACCTAAATAACAACATGGATCAATGAGTTCCCAATGGTGACATTGTAATTCATAGACCGATGATGTATTTATTGAATGTCAATGGACAAGCCAGGTATTTATTGTACTTTTCGTAATATTCCACAATCCATCAAAGCCAATGTATCGCATTATTTTAACATTTTGCATTGTTTCTTATATAATTTTTTATAAATCGGACTATTTAACAGCGAAATTAAAGTATATCTTTATTTTTCATTCTTTCGCAACATGATTTGATGCACCACATTATTTGCTAATTTGCATAATGGATCATATCGAAAAGAGGTTCCAACACTATCGAGGTGTGGATTGATTGAGATAATTTTCACCGTACAAGTATCTCAAAGATAAATGCACATGGGCTATGCGAGAATATTGGCTTAAATCATTTTCAGGCACGGTACGGCAACAAATGACAAGTGCGTTTTTTCAAGCTTTATTCTGGCGATAGATTTTTTCAATATTTATTTGATGATAATTTCAATAATTGTAATTAATAATTATTACTTTTATTTAATAATTTTGGTGTGTTTTTGTGCACAAAATTATTATTTCTTGTGGGAAAAAATTTTAAATTGCAGGAAAATGCCACTGAATTCTACTAACACTTATTGTTAATCATATAACTTCAATTTTTTTAAATTGAATAAAACGATTTTAACAAATATGCTGGAATACTTTTTTTGCAGAAAAATTTGCGAAAATAAAAGATTTTTGCAAATTAATATGAAACATCGTTTTGCCGTGAACTATGGCGAAAAAAATTAATCAACCTAAATAAGCCTTCATTACAATTAAAATTAGTCATTTGTTATATTTAACAAAATTAGAAATGTTAATAAAAACTGAATATTTTATTTATTATTAACTGATAGAATGGAAGAATTTGATGAATTCGATTTCGTTGATATTATATTTAAACGATTTTAATGAAGTTCAACAAAAAATTGCACTGTTATGTTCATCTAATTGTTTTTTTACATATTTCAATTTGCCTTTATAAATTCAAATTTGATAATTGCAAGATTGATTCACAGATTTGATTTTAGAGGACCTAAATTTCGAATTCCTTTTTACAATAATTTAATAAATGTTCCCCACTATGGAATTTATTAGGTGATCGACTGCATTCATTTTTTAAATCATTTTTTTGTATTGTATCTTTCTTACTAATACCGTTAATAGTAAATGACGCCCAGATTTTCATAGTAAAGTAAAGGAAATGAGAAAAGTTGCTTACGTAATTTGTCAAATAAAATGTAATTGATCATTGGGGGCGCTATTTAAATGATGTTTACTTATTATTAACTGACATAATGGAAGAATTCGATAAATTTTGGCCTAAAAGAAGTCGAATTTAGCTGATTTTATTTTTTCTCTTTTCAGTCATTTCTTAATTAAAAAAGAAACATTTAAATAAATAATTTCTAGGGAAATTGACCGATTTTTTTGTCGCTACAAAAGCCGATTTTATAAGTTGTTGCATCGTAAATTATTTTTGAAAATCGTAAATTCAACAAATATAATTTTAAATAACACAAATAAAAGAAATAAATTAAAAAAATATATAATTATGGAAAATAATCATCAATGTTAGAGTTTGGCCAATAATAGTTTCTAGCAGAAGAGATTGTTCGGAAGGTTTTGAATTTCTGATTTAAATTCCGTTTTGAAAAAACACAATTATCCATCTGAAAATAACAAATCGTCATAACGCTCGCAATAGAAGGAAAAAAAATCCATGGATAATTTTCACTTGGCTAAAAATTTTAGCTTCCAAATTTTTCACTTTCTCAGATATTTTGCAGTCTTTTCTGATAGAATTTGCAACCGAACTGATTGCATCGTTTATTTCGGTATGTGTGCCATGTAAGTGTACAATTTGAGGCAATTTATTTGTTGTTTTTACCAATTTCACTGATTCATTTGTTGTATTTATTGAAATATTTTGCAACAAACAAGCTCTACTAATTTAATTTAAATTTATCTCGAAATTTTATTATAAATATAAAATAAAATAAGAACAAAAATAAAAATTATGGCTCATAAGTACTGATTTCTTGCGCACAGTTTTCGTTACGCCTCGCTTGATTTTGCAATTTTTTTGTTGTCGACTTATCGATAACTTTTTTTTACTTTTTTTTCGCTCGCAAATTGATGGAAAGAAAGAAAGAAAAAAACGGGTAATTTTATGCTTCTAAAGTTTCTTTCTGAATTAATTTACTCTTGAAGCGATATTCTTCAATCTATAGTTGGCTATCATACTAACTTTTTTTTGGCACTATACATACTCGCGATTCTTTTGCGGTGGGAGAGTTTTATTTAAATTTTTAAGTTTCATTTATTTATTATTGTTTTTATTTTAATTAATAGCTCCATCGACTTTAATTATTCTCAGTTTATTTTTGCTATTTATAATAGATTATTTTTAGATTATTTTTAATGAAATTTATTATAGTCATATTATTGTTTACAGTTTCTTTTGATTAATGGTTTTATTGAATTTTTTAAGTGAATTTTGTGGAAATAAAGAAATAAAAAATAATAAATAATTTATGATTAATAAACAATAATAACAGTAAATGTTACGAAAACAAATGCCATGTTTTTCTTTTCATCACTTTTCTATTATTTTGATATTTCACTCCAAAAGAATTGAAAGAAAAGCATTAAACTCTGTAAAAGTGCCATATGTTTTTTCTCGCTAAAATGTCGGTTTTTTATTCGCGCCGTCGCTATTTTGTCGTACATTTGAGCGACATTTCATTAACAATGAGTAAATAAGGTATCTTCAATAATTATTTAATATTAAATGTTTTATTGCGCCATATTGATTAATTCTAACGTAGTATTTATTCGTAAAGTAAGATAGTTTTTTCACTTTTAATGCACTGTGGAATATCACTGCCTTTTACATGGTGTTAATTCTTCATTTGCTACTTAACGTTAAATTTCTAAAAATTGTGTTAAATTAAAAGGAGAAAATAGCAGAAAAAAATATATTCATTATAATAATGTTTACAAAATATAATATATATTTTGAAAAGGTATTTTCCTTATTTCATTGATGTTTAAGGTGGATTGTTATAGTTTTGATTTTTTGCATATTTTGGTTTATTTGTTTTTGATTTTGGCTGAAGGGAATTGTGCTCCTTTTGATTTTTCTGAAGGTAAAAGTGAGTTGATTAGGGGATATCGATTAAATATAAATTAATTTAATTAAATTAGTAGTTTAATTAAATTATAAAAATTTATTTAAAAAACATCGACATTATATTTTGCCTTTCCTTACACTGCTTTGTTAGTATTCTCCATTCATTTTTTTCTGCGAACTTACCGTTTACTTCTCGTCATTATTTATAGTTCTTATTGTGAGTTTTTTGTAGAGTTTTCTTTTAGTGAGTTTTCTGTTTCATTTAGGTTATTGCTTCTGTTATTTGGGTTTAATGATAACTTGAGATTTTTTAAGTTAATAATATTTAAATTTAGATTATTGTTTTTGGCAATGTTTATTACCTTGTTTGTCCAATGCGGTAAGCTAGTGGAGCGAGTTTAACCAGTAATGATGAGGATTCCTAAAAAAAAAACAAATAAATAATGATAAAATTTAGTGATTTTTTTTGTTATTTTTTATTTATTTTTTCTTCAAATATCCTTCAACACTATTCATTATCTGTTCTTTTGTTGTAATGCAACATAACCAGCGCTCTAAATTTATTTTTTGATGAATGAATTGTTGTTATAGCAAAATAATAAATAGATTATTGTAATAAATATATAAGATGAGTTTAAATGGTACGAATGATAAAATGGTGATGGCCATTTTTTCATCCTTTCATAAAGAATAATCAGCTAATCTGACAATTGTTTCGTAGAATGAAGAGTTTCCTTTTCCTTTAAAAGAGTGATTTTGATTTTATCTTTCTCAAATGATTATCAGTCGCTTTTAAAAAAATCGA